CCATGGCAAAAATTTTGTTGTGCAAGTTCAGTGCTCCAGGAGTTGATGGAGATGTAAGCAAAGGTTCATTTTGAACATGTTTTAGTCGTGCTGCTTTCAATAGGATGTGACATTGGTAGTGGTAGTTAAAGGGTGGGTACAACATTAAATTCGCAGTACATATTTAAGTATGTACAATAACTACAAGTATATATTATCATTAAATTTAGGTATGTACAATAACTACATATTTAGGTATGTTTGTTAACTACATATTTAGGTATATAAATCTTTTGAGTGAGTTTTAAGATATTAATTTAATAATTATAGGCGTCTAATGATTTATTTTTTACGTTACGGTATATATTATTATTAAATTAAAAACAAAAACATATATATTACATATTTATTATTATCTTTGGTTAATGTTGTTAAATTTAAATTCTAAATATTTTTATAAAATATCAAAACAATCAAATAATTTTTTGTGTAAATGAAATTATTAAATTAATATTGTAGGTGGAAAACATGAAACACTGTTAAAAAAATTGAAACATAAATTACATAACTTTTAAAAAAAGTATCGATCCTTTTTATAAAAAGTATGAACAATTTCAATATAATAGGTAAAATATGATGTAATAGGTAGCGCTTATATAATGTAATAGTATCGTTTATATAATGTAATAGGTAGTGGTTATATTGTAAAGTATCTATCTTTTTTATAAAAGTGTCCATACTTTTTTCACTGTGGAAAACATTAATTTAAGGTTATATTTTGAGTGAGTTTTAAGATATTAATTTAGTAATTATAGGCGTCTAATGATTTATTTTTTACGATATATTATTATTAAATTAAAAATTATAAATATTATTTTATAAAATATCAAAACAATCAAATAATTTTTTGTGCAAATGAAATTATTAAATCAAATAATTCAAATTGAAAATTAAACAACAAATCAATTAAACATTGTTGTGGGTACATTATTTGAACATTGTTATGGGTACATTATTTGGAAAAATAATGTTCCGGACTTTGTTAGAAATAACTCTTTTTCATTGGATTAATTTCGTTTTTGTGGGTACATTATTTGAACATTGTATATATAAATTTGTTGTGTATGTATGTTTTGGTTTGATTATATTGTATGTATATTTTCATTCAGTTGAGATGGGTTATGTATAACAAAACAATCTATCTCTTCCATGTGAGTACTTTATTCCAACCATGTGACAAGTGTGACAACTCCATCAACTCACAACTCAGCTTTGAACTCAATCAATATTGTCTTTTAGCTTGATGGTTCATAAAGCATGTTACTTGAACAGTATAAATCAATTATGCAATTTTCATGTTCAATTTAACACTGCATTTCAAATTCATTTCATATGTAATTGGAGTTTGAATTTAAATTTCAATTTGAGTTTGAATTTCAATATATATTTCGGCTCCACTATAAATATTAGCCCAAGCCAATATGCATGTTATCATTGATTATTCCTAATTTCCATTGTTTTTTTTCCAACGTTTAAACGCGAGGGAAATCCCGGCCATTGTATTTTTTGGTCAACTTTAAAGCGTCAGAAACGTTTCGGGCGTATGATCTGGGTGGTATACAAGAAATGTAACAAATAGCAACTAAAATCATAAGTCCGAAATGCTTCTGAGTACCACCCAAATCATAAGTTCGAAATACTTCCGATGCTCATCAAAATCCAAACCTCATATGGTGCCAAGCAAAAGGAAATCAAAATCAAAATCTCATATGATGCCAAGCAAAAGGAAATCAAAATCTACAACTTGAGTTTGAACATTGATATGATATGTTCAGTTGTTATCATGTTGGGATTTTCTCGTTTTTGATTGCTTGGATAGTTGTTCTCTTGCTTCTTCAAGTGTCATTAGCTTGTAATTTATAGCTTGGAATGTGTTTGATGTTGTATATATTATTATTAAATTAAAAACAATAAACATATATATTACATATTTATTATTATCTTTGATTAATGTTGTTAAATTTAAATTCTAAATATTATTTTATAAAATATCAAAACAATCAAATAATTTTTGGTGCAAATGAAATTATTAAATTAATATTGTAGGTGGAAAACATGAAACACTGTTAAAAAAATTGAAACATAAATTACATAACTTTAAAAGAAGTATCGATCATTTTTATAAAAAGTATAGACACTTTCAATATAATAAGTAAAAATATGATGTAATAGGTAGCGCTTATATAATATAATAGGTATCGTTTATATAATGTAATAGGTAGTGGTTATATTGTAAAGTATCTATCTTTTTTATAAAAGTGTCCATACTTTTTTCACTGTGGAAAACATTAATTTAAGGTTATCCTTTGAGTGAGTTTTAAGATATTAATTTAGTAATTATAGGCGTCTAATGATTTATTTTTACGTTACGATATATATTATTATTAAATTAAAAATTCTAAATAATATTTTATAAAATATCAAAACAATCAAATAATTTTTTGTGCAAATGAAATTATTAAATTAATATTGTAGGTGGAAAACATGAAACACTATTAAAAAAAATTGAAACATAAATTACATAACTTTAAAAGAAGTATCGATCCTTTTTATAAAAAGTATGGACACTTTCAATATAATAGGTAAAAATATGATGTAATAGGTAGCGCTTATATAATGTAATAGGTATCGTTTATATAATGTAATAGGTAGTGGTTATATTGTAAAGTATCTATCCTTTTTATAAAAGTGTCCATACTTTTTTCACTGTGGAAAACATTAATTTAAGGTTATCTTTTGAGTGAATTTTAAGATATTAATTTAGTAATTATAGGCGTCTAATGATTTATTTTTTACGTTACGATATATATTATTATTAAATTAAAAATTATAAATATTATTTTATAAAATATCAAAACAATCAAATAATTTTTTGTGCAAATGAAATTATTAAATTAATATTGTAGGTGGAAAACATGAAACATACTTAAAAAAAATTGAAACATAAATTACATATCTTTAAAAAAAAGTATCGATCTTTTTTATAAAAAGTATGAACACTTTCAATATAATAGGTAAAAATATGATGTAATAAGTAACGCTTATATAATGTAATAGGTATCGTTTATATAATGTAATAGGTAGTGGTTATATTGTAAAGTATCTATCCTTTTTATAAAAGTGTCCAAACTTTTTTCACTGTGAAAAACATTAATTTAAGGTTATCTTTTGAGTGAGTTTTAAGATATTAATTTAGTAATTATAGGCGTCTAATGATTTTTTTACGTTACGATATATATTATTATTAATTAAAAATTCTAAATAATATTTTATAAAATATCAAAACAATCAAATAATTTTTTGTGCAAATGAAATTATTAAATTAATATTGTAGGTGGAAAACATGAAACACTATTAAAAAAATTGAAACATAAATTACATAACTTTAAAAGAAGTATCGATCCTTTTTATAAAAAGTATGGACACTTTCAATATAATAGGTAAAAATATGATGTAATAGGTAGCGCTTATATAATGTAATAGGTAGCGTTTATATAATGTAATAGGTAGTGCTTATATTGTAAAGTATCTATCCTTTTTATAAAAGTGTCCATACTTTTTTCACTGTGGAAAACATTAATTTAAGGTTATCTTTTGAGTGAGTTTTAATATATTAATTTAGTAATTATAGGCGACTAATGATTTATTTTTTACGTTACGATATATATTATTATTAAATTAAAAATTCTAAATATTATTTTATAAAATATCAAAACAATCAAATAATTTTTTGTGCAAATGAAATTATTAAATTAATATTGTAGGTGGAAAACATGAAACACTATTAAAAAAAATTGAAACATAAATTACATAACTTTAAAAGAAGTATCGATCCTTTTTATAAAAAATATAGACACTTTCAATATAATATAATGTAATAGGTAAATTTGCAATGCTATCGGTATAAATATACCGGTTTACTTATAAAATAGGTAAATATAAACGCTACATATTACATTATATAAGCGTTACCTAGTATGTTATTGTACTTTATAATATTTCCGGTTAAATAATATAACATAACCGGTCTAAATTTTAACCGGTCACTTGTTTAACCGGTCACGCCGTATATTAGCCGTTTTTTAGGCGCCGCACTGCAGAACTACCCCATAGTCAACTGTAACAACATTATTGGGAAATGTCCTATGTAATTTGTTTCTTTTTTTTTCTCTCACTATCCACCCCCCAACCCAAATAGAACGGATGGACGTTTTGAATCTGATCGGTTATCTTTAATGTTAATTCAGATTTGATACAATATAATTTAACTCTAATTATTTTAATATTAAACTCTAAAACCTTAAATGGCAAATGAATAGAATTGTGTAAACTAAATTTTATATATAAATTTGAATATACATATTTTTTTGGCAAAAAATTAATAACGAAGATGATTAGTTACTTGCACAAACCAATTTAGTTCAATAGATAAAGAATGATTGTTATTCTTAGAAGTCTCGAGTTCAAGTATCAACGACAACAATATAGATGATTAAATGTTCTTTATCAAATAGTTAAGAGAATTTAAGATAGACCCCGCGTAAATATAACACGAAAAGAATCCAATCATATAACAAAACCTACCCACTTTAAGTGTAATCAAATAATACAATTGCGGCCAAATGCAGTCCACAAGTTATAAAAGAAATAAACACAATAAATGTGTGGCTCACTCGAGTACCAAAACAAATGCATGTTAAGTGAACTATGAATAACATTGATCCTCTCAAAGCAATACACCATTTTTTATGTCTTAACCTAAAGGGAACAGAAATACAGAATCATCACTGTGAATCCAGAATCCGTAAGGCTATCATAAGGACCCTGTTTTGAACTAATACACCAGAACGTCATCTTAAAGCAACAAAACTGAAGCAAATACTATAATCTGAGATTAAAGACACGAGTGACCATAGTTTGATGTGTGGTTTAGTTGGTACAAACATGAACAAGTGTAAGGCTAGGGTGTAAATTCATATTTTCTTCCAATTTCAACATAGTAAAATTCAAATGTCACTAAGCCACCTCTACAATAGTGCTAAAGCACAGGCAAACATTGCATATGATTCAATAAGGAGAAGATTATTAATGGTTTGTTTTACATTTAGCTTGTTGTACAACTTGCTAAACTTTGAACATTGAAGTACGTAGAAAATGAAAGGGAGAATAAAAGAAACAAAGAAACATGGAGAAAATAACAAACAACACGCCAGGATTCTCAAAGAAAATCATGATATTCAATCAAGAAATTAACTAACCCCTTTTCGCTCCTCATGATGCTTTCTCCATGAGCTGAATTGGAGATAGAATATTAGCCTTGCTTGTCTCAACAATAGAACCATTCATAACCATTTCCTCCAGCATGAAATGTGCCTTCTCTAAATGGAACATGATATCCAGCTCACACTGCAATAAAATTTGGTAGACAAAGAGATAACAATGAGTAAAAGGAAAAAATATACAATTCCAGTCAATTTGAACGGGTTTGAAACTAATACATCTTCTTGGGGGAGAACTTACAACATTGCCAAAATGGCGGTCCATGGTTTCAACTAAGAGATGTATAAATTCCAAAATTGCAAGCTCATTCTGCCACATTTAAGAAAAGAGGAGGATAAAGATAAATTGAAGTTGTCAAACAATAAGCAAACTGGAAAATATAAAAGCTTGACATAAGTCTAGTGCAAATCAAAACCCAAATTCTAATTCATTTGCCCTTCCACGTTCACCCCATATCAAGGGTATGGATTATAAACACTCTTAACCTCTCAACATCTCTTTGCTTATCTTAGGGGGAAAATGCCATAAAAAAACAAAGGCATCCACCTCAACCTCTCAACCTAAGGGATCCACCTCGACCTCAAAAGACATCAACAATTACATACATGATCTTAGAGGGGGTAGGAAAGGAATGGAACTTACTTCATCATTGTCAACTCCAACTAAGAAAAACAGCGAAGCATATCGCCTGTACACAATTTTGTAATTCCGATGCTCAACAAATGAACACTGTCACAATTCAAGCAAATTAATAACCGCAAATGAGTAAATAGAGCATTAATTCTGAAGTTACTAGCAATTCTAGCCTTAAATTTGAAGGAAATTAGAAATTGGAAATTCCAAATCCCCTAAATCACGAGCAGACAAAACTACAGCAAAAAGAGAGAGTTAAATCATGGGCAAATAATCTCAAATATTTTTTAGAAAAAGGAGATTTACATGCAAATCTTCCTTTAAATATTATTACCTGTTGCTCGTTGCGGGCCAAGCACTTGCGAACGATCTCGCCTTCGAGGGCACGTCGTTCTTCTAGGGTGAGCCATTCGTAGTACTGGGCGAGACGGGTCTGCCCTTGCTTGTTCACCATTAATATGAATCTGATTCCCATCTCTTTCCTTCGTTCTTCCCTTGCTTCTTCCTGGATCTGAATCTCTATTTTCTCACGGCAAAATTGATCGCTTATTGTTGTTGTTATTGACCTTAATGGGAAAATTGGAGATTAGGGCGTGCTTTTTACTTTTAAGGTTTTTCAGGGTCTAATAATTTTAATTCTTTATAGATTGATTCCCAAGCGGCCCGTAAACTTAAAATACGGTACAGATATCTGAATATTTTAACATTAATACCATAATATAAGTTATAATTTACTTCTAATAATTTAGTAAATTTTATATAAATGTTAACAAATTTTTATGATTATAATGCGAAAAATATCATTAGGTATATTGTTTACTCTTTAAAAGAATAAATTACACAAATGATCACTTTTATTTGAGTTTTATAAATATATGATTGTTGTATTAAAAAAATATAATACATGATCACTTTCGTTTCGTTTAATTAAGATGTAATCACTGGAACGTTAACTTCCGTTAGTTAAATGATGTGATATATTAGTAAAAAAGTTTGATTTTTATTGTAACCCCTTAAATTTAAATAAAATATTAATTAGGAACCTTTTAATAATTTTAAAGTAGTTTCGGACAAAATTTCAATTTACTCTTTTTTTTTTCATACGTTTTCTTCCCCAAACCTATCCTATCTTCTCCTTCGCTTCCCCTACCCCTCATACCTGTATATTTTCCTCAAAGCCAAATTTTTGTTTTAAAGTCTGAGCCTTTAGCTTCTAATTCTTAAATCATTTTTGTTTAACTTTGGTTCGGGTATTGGTTAATAAAGAAGAATCTGAGATCCTTTGATAATTAGTGTTGAATTGATAGATTTTTTTTTATCAATGTCAGGTGTTCCAATATTGAGATCGAGAAATGTGGCCAACTCAGAGGCAAGACTTGTACTGAGACCAACGGGAAACAAGGCAGGTTCGTTAAGTTCAAGAAAACCAGCTTTGAAAAAGGTTGAAAAGTCTCCAGTCGAGGTTGAAAAATCCCTTCCATCATCTACTGTTAATTCTATTTCTCCAAAAACTCATTTTGTTAGTTCACATTCAGTACTACGCCGTCATCAGCAGTTTTTTACATTCTAATTTATCAATAAATGCTTCATGTTCATCGGTTGAGCATCAGTGTGTTAGATTAACTCGTTCAAATAGTGTAGGAAGTAATGGGAACACATACACGCAAAGCAGAAAAGTGTTGTTTCTGATGGTTGCATTCGAAGAAGAGATGCGCATGGGTAACAACCAAATACAGGTGTGTTGTTGTGTCCTCTAATTTATCAGTGTTTTTTCATGGTTGATTCGAAATTATGTGTCAACTTCTTCCTCCATGAATCACTCGTAAACAGAATAAACTAATTTCAGTCTTGTACTTAATTTATGAAAATATAAAATTTGTCAAATTAATAAGTTACAAATTTTATTTTACATAGAAGCATTAAAAAATTTATAAAACGTTGAAAATTGCGGTGCTTTTAGTAAATCATGTTTCGATATTAGTGAGTTAACTTTAAATTAGTTGAGTTAGTAATTATTTAGTTAACGATTTGTTTTAATGTATGTTAGTTATAACACCATAATTATACATTTAAGATTTGTTTAATCATTTATTCTTATATACACTTCTTATAATAGTAGCCATAGTTGAAAATTGTAAGTTTAATATATATATATATATATATATGAAAAAAAGAAAATTTTATACGAATTCTATGAGATCCCTTAGATAAAGGTGGATCTCTTGAACTCGCTATTGTTGCGTTAATTCTTATCCCTAACACGATCCCAATTGCCCCTACCACGAATCAGAAAACGAAACCCACTCCTGCAAAGATTTTTTATGTGTGATAACTGTGATGCTCCTTCAGAGACTGTCGAAATAATAGATGAGGATGAAATTGAAATCCTTGATGGTGATGTTTCCCAAATCATAGTTGATGGTTTGATCTCGATTAATTTCTCTGACCGTATCCAATCTTTGGTTGCCAAGAGTTTCGAACAAATTGTGGAAATCAAATTACTTTGAAGACGCATCGGATATACTACTCTTCAACCAAACTCTATGAATTGTGTAAGCCTAAGCAAACCTTCAAACTTATGGACAATGAAAACAACTATTTTATAGTCACTTTCAACACTCATACCGACTTCCTCCAAGTTCTAGCCGATGGACCATGAACAATCTTTAGGCATTACTTGACAATTGAATCGTGGAAAATGGAGTTTTCCACCACGACACAACCCTCCCAAAGAAAATAATAGCATGGGTACGACTGCCCAAGCTTCGAGTTACTTTGTATAAGAGGAACATTACCACAAAAATTGGCGAAAGTATTGGACCGATAATCTGTCAGGATTGGAGAAGAAGAAGAGGAATGGCGAGGAAATATCGAAGAGCATTTGGGAAATAAAGATCGAGGGTTAGGGATTGAAGACAGAAATTGGGAATTGAATCATGTGAGAGGCACGGGGTCACTTACCTTATCAGAGGAGCAGGCTGAGCAAAAGGGAGGTCTGAAGGAGCAACCCAATACCGAAGGCCCAATACCTTAGAAAGAAAAGAAAGAGAAGAATCAATCTGTTATATAGTTGGGACAACTGTCATGAAGTGACTGGCAATTGTAACTAAATAATTAACAGACTTGGTTGTAAAAAATTCCTTATGCAATGAATGATGAATTTTCTTCTCTATCAACTCTCTCTCGTCTAAATTCATCTCTTAAATCTTTTCTTTTTCTCTCAATCTATAACAATTGGTAATCAGAGCTTCGATTCTGGCAAAAATCTCTTGTGGGCATGACAAAGAAGAACCAATCCATGGCGGAAAATGATTTATCTGGGATCCAAAAACAGATTGAAGACCTAGCTGCATTGGTGAAACAAGGGCAAGCTGAAACTAATCCACCTAAATGGTGGGAGACTCAAGAGAATAGAATCACTACATTGGAGTCTAGAATGGCTACTAATCAAGGTTATGTGGAGGAACTATTAAAGATTTTGACAGGCAGAAATGGGGAGCATGAGCATTCTACCGATGAACAGGTACAATCTCCTGATACTTCTAAAAATAAGGACACTAATCCTGTTTTGGTGACTGTGGTGAATGACAAGTCTAGATTTACTTATAAACCGGATGAACCTGGGATATTAAAGACTAAACCTGATGCTTGTTTAGTTCTTAAGAATAGTTTGAGGCCTGAAAATCAAGTGGGTGAAAACAGTGATTCTAGACTTAATGTGTTTGGAGTGGAAGCTGAAAAAGGGGGCCAGGGGTTCAATTAATAGTCCTGGAACTATGTGGAACAGACCCAAGATAGAACTACCATTTTTTGAAGGGGTTAATCCTAGGGCTGGATTAAAAAATGCTTGAAATATTTCTCTATTTGTAGTGTTCATGTTGAGCAAAGAGTAGAGGTAGCTACTATGTATTTAACAGGCAAAGCATAAATATGGTTTGATGGGTATATAATGCAAAAGCACCATGTAACATGGCATGAATTTGAAGCTGATATCTTTCACAGATTCAATGACAGATCTTTTTCTGATATTATAAAAGAGTTCACTAAATTGACTCAGTGGAAGAGTATCAGGAAAAATTTGAGGGGTTGCAGCCTTATATGTTGTTGCAGAATCTTACTTTAACTGAGGAGTTTTTTGTATCACTTTTTATTAGTGGTCTAAGAGATGAGATTAAGTATAGGGTCAAGGCTTTAGATCCTAAAAACGTGTTTGAATCATGTAAATAGGCCAAGCTTTATGAACTTTCTGTGGAGCTTGAAAATAAGAGATTAAGGCCTTCTTTTAAAATCCTACCCTACCTAAACCCCATATCTACATCTAAGACAAATGATATGTCAGTGCCTACAAAGCCTACTGCCTCACCAAATCCAAAACAAAATCTTTTGGATTATAGAAGGCAAAATAATATTTGTTTCAAATATGGTGAGAAATATCTACCAGGCTATCAGTGTACAAACAGGCAGTTAAATATATTGAGAATTCAGGGTACTATTCAGGGAAGACCCTTGAATATCTTAATTGATAGTGGCAGCACACATAGTTTATTGACTCCTAAATGGGCTGATGCTGGTATACATATTACTACCCTAATCATCTGGCTATCACTGTGGCTAATGGCCAACAACTATTCAGTTCTTCTAGATGCAACAAGGTAGAATGACAAATACAAGGTCATACTTTTTTACATGATTTTAGGCTACTTAAATTGGGAGGAAGTGACATGGTCTTGGGAGTTGATTGGATGAAGCTATTCAGTCCAATATGAATGGACTTTAACAACATGACCTTAAGCTTTGACCATCAAGGGGATCCGATTTGTATTTAAGGCCAACAACTCTATAATGAACTGCTGTAAATTTCAGGGGCTACACTACTTAAAATGTCTGCATGGGATTCTGATATTTTGGGCCATGTTGTCTTATTGACTATGGTAGGAAATTCTACTAATATTCATACTGAAATTTAACATCTGTTGGAGCAGTACAACACAGTTTTTGCTGAACCTAAAGGGCTACCTCTACAGAGGACTCATGACCATGCTATTCCACTCAAATCTAATGCTACACTTGTCAATTTAAGGCCTTACAGATTTCCTCACCATCAAAAGGCTGAAGTGGAAAAACATATAGCTATTATGCTTTCTTCTTCTATTATTCAGCCTAGTAAGAGTACATTTGCCTCTCCCTGCCTTCTTATTAAAAAGAATGATGACACTTGGAGATTTTGTGTGGATTACAGAGAATTAAATAGTATGACCATCAAAGACAAATTTCCTATTCCTATAGTGGAAGATTTACTGGATGAGTTACATGGGGCAGTCTATTTTTCAAAAATAGATTTGAGGTCAGGTTATTGGCAGATCATAATTAAACTTGAGGATATTTACAAGACAACCTTTAGAACTCATCAAGGTCATTATGAGTTTAAGGTAATGCCTTTTGGTCTTACTAATGCTCCTGCTACATTTCAGACTCTTATTAATGAATTGTTCAATTCTTTTCTTAGAAAAATTATTTTAGTTTTCTTTGATGATATCTTGGTATATAGAAGCAGTATGCAAGATCATATTA